ACATGCTCCAGCCCTGGGCAGGTGAATGGGCTCAGGCAGGGACTGGGTATCAGTGCAAACCTGAGTGTCCTCAGAAATTCATGAGACTGCAGCATAATAATAATAATAATAATAATAATAATAAAAAATATATGTATATATATAGAGAGATATATATAGATATATATATAGAGAGAGAGATATATATATATATATATAGATATAGATATAGAGATATAGATATAGAGATGTAGATATAGATACAGATATAGATATAGATATAAAAATAATTCTACCAAGAGATGCTCCAGCCCTGGGCAGGTGAACGGCCTCAAGCAGGGACTGGGTATCAGTGCAAACCTGAGTGCCAGAAATTCATGAAACTGCCTAATAATAATAAAAAATAAATATATTACTTAATAACAATAACAGCAACAACTAGAAATAAAGAGTGTGTGATCAATCCTACAGCATATTCTCAGCAGTCCCTGAGTTCATCTTCTGCTCATGGTGATCAGGCACTGGCAGAAGCTTTGTCACCAAATGGAGCTGTCACTCCCCAGAGCCACGATGTGGGAGCAGAGGGGAGAGATGAGGCTGAGCTCTCCCAAGGATGTGTTTTCCTCTGCTCCTGTCTCTAGTTTTGACAGTAGGCTCCTCCAAGAGGCATTAGCCCATGCCAGGGCTGACATTCGGGATTATGCTCATAGGATTTGGTTGAGTCCATTTTCCCATCTGAAGCAGGGACAAATATTCTTTTTGTATTAAATAACTTAACATTTAAGGAATAAAAAACCTCTGTTTGCTACCTGTGAATCACTATATTTATATATTTAAGGAAAAATTAATTTATCCTACTTGTAAAAAGTTAATCCTTCAAGCCATTTTTAATTCTTTCAGGGTTTAACCTTACATAGAGTTTCCATGTGTTGTTATCAGCCATCAACAGTAATTTAATGCAGGAAATTTTCACTGATCAAGCTAAACAGACATCAGTTGTTTTAACAGATTAAAAAAAAAAGCAGCAAAATGTAAATGGTGGAATTAAAATATACAACTTGTCTATTTTCCATGCCCTTGACTATGTTGGTTTACATCTGAGTGGCTGAGGACTATGTTAAAAAATAAGTTAGTTGTCTTGAAAATGTAAAGTGACAGTTTAAGTGTTTTGTTTCTGTGCTAATGTGCAATTAGGTCGTTATCCAATAAGCTGATTCATGTAGTTTAACTGGAGACAGCTGTGGGAGGCAGAGAAAAGCCTTGGCTGTTGGGGCATGGGGAGAGGGTGTCTGAAAGGATCTGTTTCACAACTGCCAGGATGGTATTTTCCCCTGTGTAATATAGGAGAGTTAGCAAGATTTATGAAAAATTCAATTCTGTTGATCAGATCTATAGAGAGAAAATCAAAATGAATGCCAGCAAGTGTGGAATAATTTTTGATCTATAAATCAACT